TTGAAAGTCAGGATCTTGATAGGAAATTACACCTTTCAGCTACCTGAGAAATGTCATTTTCAGTTTAGTAGTTGAGCAGGCAGAGAGACCGCTGATCTGTCTCCCCAGCTAGAATTCTTGATTGCTTGTTTTCTTTCCTCCCTCCTAGCCTATCTCTTTTGCAGTTAATCTTAAAATTGACCCAGCTGGTAGTCCTTTATGTATCCTTCTCTTTATTACTCCAAAAAAGAAGGCACATTCAGGAGAGTTGCAGGGGATTGGCGGGTACCCTTGGCACACCAGAGTTAGCCACTCAAAGCTGCCCACAGCAGTTAATGGAGGCTGCAGAAATAGGAGAAACTTGCTCTACAGAAGCCAGAGAATGAGGAGGAAACACTGTGCATGGCTGGCATGGACTCTACCACTGGACTGCTGTTGGGGGAGGAGGAAGATACCACTTTGGTCTTCCAACTGCAAAAACAATTCTTCCTGGGGTTTAAAAGAGAGAATCAGCTTCTCGGCCACAACCATTTGGTTCTTGAGGTGACTAAGGTTAGCCAGTCAGTGCCATCCAGAACCAACTTGTGAACTTCAAAGCTTTTATTATTTTTTTCCCTCCACCATCCAACCCTATGTTCCAAGTGTACTTGAAACCAACTAAATCTGGTTGTTTACAAACCACAGTTGCAGAGATGATAGAAGAGGAGTGGGCTTGGACATTACACTTGGAAGTTCAACCTCTAGAAAGGCAACGTGGTGTGGTGGTGGTGTTGCTCTGGCACTAGAGGGCCTCAGGGTCAACACTGAGACAAGCATGGGGATTTTTCAGAGGCTGTGGAGGAAGAAGGAGAGATCCAGTGGCTGAGTTCACACATTATGCTAACCCATGATCAAGTGTGATTAATTTTGACTTAGTGGAATAGATCCATCTAACCCTTGTGTTTCATAAATCACGGTTAATGGCTTAGCACATTGCATGAATCAGGCCATGATGACTTCTTCAACTGATCCTGGTTTGAACAATCCAAGATGTAGTGTCATGGGTCAACCCAATCAATGAGGCGTTGGCCAATGTGTGAGAAAGAGATTTGGCAGGAGCCTCCCCATGGAAAGCTCAAAAGGAGATCTCTTTCCAAGGCAGTTTTCCTTTGGATTCAGAGAATAGAGACAGAGTTCCCTCATCCAGCTATATGAAGTTTTGGGAATATCATCCCATCCAAGATCCATTCTTGGATCAGTTCTGAATCTTTGCTTGAGAGCACCAAATCAAATCCCACCACATCCACAAGTTCTGAATACAGGTTGAGAATTCCCAAGAGGACAGAAGAGCCATGTCCCTCTAAATCTGTAAGGTACAACACATTCAGAAAATACTTCATTTTTCATAAGGATCGTTGCTATGTTCCATGTAAATAATTGCAAGCATTGATGCATTCTTCCTATGACCCACGTACTGTGATGTATGTGGGAATATTCTCAATTCAACTTGTTCAAAGGGCAGTGCACACTTAATTTCAATCAACACCCAACAATATCTATTTCCTAATCAGTTTGAATCACTATGCTGGATAATAACTTTGCCTATGACTAGACCAACTCCAAAGACATTCATTTTCTGAATACATTAAAAAGACTCCATTGTTTTTATTTTTATTCTGTGTGGCTGTATGGTGTTTTAACACCAGTACATTTGTAGTTCTGGGGAGACAAACACAAAACTTCTTTTCCCCACCATGCAAGGTCTGAAGCTTCTTTTAAAGATTTCAGAACAGGTGAATTCTTTCACAACAGTGGATTTGTACATCTTTTTTTTTCCAGTTTAGGAGAATTATATAGCAAAACAGTGTTAAGAGCCATAATGCTCCAAAAGCTTAATCTTAGGGAGTAATTCAAGATCTTCCTCATTAGGACCAGCCCAGAAGACAGGTGGGTTAACAAAGAATGCCTTCTACATATTTGGAAGTTTCATCTGGTAATTACAATTGCAGAAACTGTCTCATTCCCCTGAAGTTGTTCCAATAATACCTTCCAATCCAATCTGGGATTGAATAGAAGATTGTCAATTTTGATGCCTGAGGTTTCCATATTTTGCCAAGACTTTAAAAAATACATTGATGATTGAATGGGTTGGAGGCATCCATACATCACCAGAAGCCATAAATCCTGATTTATAGGCCAAGAGGGCTAAGTTCATGAACATAGAAAACCCAAACAAAACCCAACCCAGCAAAGAACAATCAATGATGCCAAGCAAGAATCAATTGGCAGAAATAATGCAGAATGCTGTTGATATTTCTTCTCAGTCTTGAAGCCGGTGCAGAAAGAAAATTCTAAAAGCTGCTTCTGAATGTGTGCTCCGTGGGATGAGATATAGGCAGAGAGACAGGAAAGGCCAATTTATTTTCAAAAATGGCTAGCACGTTGATGAATGCTCCCTGCCCCATATCCTATGACAGTGGCAGAAGGATCAATGTTTTCCTACTCTATTATAGATGGAGGACCCTTGGGAAACTGGGAAGGGCTAGTGAAGTGTCCATAGAAATAATAATGAGGCCATACAGGTTCCAAAATAATGTGTATTTTGGACGTTTAGAAACAGGCAGCTATGTTTCTAGTTCCACAGGTGGAATCTGTGGGTTGTGGGAAGCAGATGGGAAACTCCATTCATCCATTCCTTTTCAGTGTGGGATTACATTCATGGGGGTTGGTGAGAACTAGTTGTTAGCGCTTGTACTAGGAAAGGCACTGAACCTATCAAGTGCATTGTACGTTATCAAGCCATTACAGCAATGAGAGAGAAGAACACCTCTTAATGGCTTTGCCTGTTAATTATCGGTTTACATGAAATCGCTAGCCTTGCCTTTGTACGTTAAAAGCGCTGGGGAATTCATCAACGGAGGCCTGTTTGCAAGGAGGAAAAGAAATTCCTGAGCTTTGTCGGGTCGAATGGAAAGCTTGTTTTGGGTCAATGTCAGGAACAGCATTTTAAAGCAAGGAAGTCACCTTAAATGTTGCTGTTTGTCCTGTGATGTTTAGGGTTGCATTGGTAGGTCTTCTTACATTTTTTTCACGTTGGGTTCTGTCCATAAATTGTTTTACTTATGGTGGTCTGAGGACATGAAGATGGGCACCTTTCATGATCCCCAATACTTATATTACATATTTGGGCACCCACATTGGCATGTTTAGACCTTTGTCCTTCATGGTATTGACTAGGAGGTTCAATAATATCCCTATCCAGAGGGCTTGTGTATATGTTCAGACGCTGAAATTGAGGCAGTTGCCTAAATTCTCATGGAATACCTTATCTATCACTCTTGGACAGAGATAATCTCTCCTCTAATTCCAAATGACCAGGACTGGTCGCAAGAGACAATAGTGTATTTCCTCTTAAATCACCGAGACCACAACGTTTCTAAGAACATAGCAATTTGGGTCAAAAATGTACAGGTATGCTGAACTCCTGCTGTGAATGGGCTCTCTTATCCCATATCTTTTGTTTTTTAACATCATTTTTTTTCTTGTTTTGGTCTGTGACTGTACATTCTTTGATGAATAAGTAAATTTATTTACACAGAATTGGCCCTTCATGATCCCTAGTTTCCATCAGTATCTTGTCCTTTTTGTTCTCTGGTGAAGAAGTTGAATGGGGAAAGAAGCTGTCTTGAGACCTGGTCTTGGAGAAAGCAAGGCTTTGGAAACCTTGCAGATGAAACACTGGAAATTGTAGAATATCTTTTGGTTTTTCTTTAAGTTAACCAACAGACAGAAATAGCCTCTTGTTAACCTCTGCTCCGGCTTTTAAGAATCTTCCAGTTATTTTCTGGAGTTAGGTGTTAAATGGTCTTGCCAAGAAACTCTGAAGTTCTCATGAGGAGGGATAAAATGTGGGAAGGAAGGAAGGAAGGAAGGAAGGAAGGAAGGAAGGAAGGAAGGAAGGAAGGAAGAGTGAAGATCAAACAACCTGAAAAAGATAAATTTGCTCCTTATTTAGCTCAGAACTCTTATGAAAAGACTAGTGATGATGATGGTGATGATAATGACGATGAAAATGAAGATGATGATGATATTCTTTTTTTTTTTATTCTCCAAGCCCTGGCAGCAATTGATATTAGAAATCTGCAGATCTCACGATAATCCCTACCAGCATCCAGGTTATTCAGTTGTTAGTCCATTGGGTAGGATTTGGAAAATGGAAGAAAATCTGCCATTGTTTCGCATTCCTTCATTTTTAATATGGATTTCTTAGTCTCTGATGACAGAGATATGATAAATGTCCTTTAAATGCTATGGAACAGGAGTGAAGTCAAACTGTACAAATGTTTTGGAATTGATATGTTTACCATTTAAATGGCACCTTTTCCAGATCATTTGATGTCCATCTGTGGATCACTTATTTCTATCTCTAGTCTGTTTTGAAAGTATTTCCTTCAAATTAAAAAATATTTTTTGGCAAAAACTCTAGGTGAGAGGAAGAATGCTGCTTTATTTGGCTAAGATTTAATAATTTCCCTTTTCTGGAATTCTTACAGATACCTGCTGGAGACAGAATATTCTTTTATTCATTGATTTAATTTAGTACTAATTTATAAAAGTCTCTGAGTTCAGCTCAGCTCCTGGTGACTCCAGTATGTCCATGTAATTATTTTAGCAGCAATATGAAAGTGGTTTTCATTGCCTTCTTCTGAGGTATTTTTTGACATTCTAGTCTAGATACAACCCTGGGGTTTTCTGGTAGTCTCCCATCCAAGAACTAACCAAGTCTGACTCTGCCAAGCCAAGATGGCATTGGCCAGGAGCTGGCACCTGTGAAGTCAACTAAATGATACCCTGGCCACTTTTCCCAGGCCATGTGAATTGTTCAGTGTGGCCCTTGGCTGACACCCAAGAGACAAAGCTTCTTCCCTTCCAAAATGAGCCATCCCTGCTTTGAACCTTGACTACAAGTTCATTGATCATCATCAGAACTTCTCTCAACCAGTGCCATGTTGACACCCGCTTTTGTTTCCATTTCATTCCAGGACACAGACATCTTGAACACAGCCATCCTTACTGGGAAGACAGTTGCTGTTCCTGTCAAGGTGATTTCTGTTGAAGAAAACAGTGTGGTGACAGATATCTCAGAATCAGTGGAATGCAAGTCTTCTGCTGAGGATGTGGTTAAAGTGAGTATTAGGATCATCAGCCATGGGTGACGTTTCATTCTTGGTATTTGAGGAGTTGGGTCTCTGTCCTTCAGCTCTGCATCTTTATGGTCAATCATGACCTTGCTTGGGCCAGTATAGCTTATTGATTCTTATTCCTGTCCCATCTCTTTTGTCAACATTTAGTTATTACTGTTGCCTTTTCTTCTCCACTTGGTAAGCAAACAGCCAGAACTTTCCTGACATGTACAGTATATTCACTGCACCTGAGGTCAACAGTATAATTTAGGGGTAAAGATCAGCCTGTGGGGTACACACTCCCTTCTTCACCCCTGCCTAATGAACACAATGTGCAATGTGGCTAATTTAGGGTCATCATTCTACCTGTCAAGGCAGGTTATGGAATGTTCTCACGCCCTTATGGAAGTTTTTGGGCATGCAACTCACATCAGCAGCTGCAAGATGATGGCTACAATTGCACAATTGAAGCCCCACTGCTTTGTGCATGCATGCAACATCAACCCATGTATAAAAGGGTGGGGCTTTGATTGTGTGTTGAAACTTTTGACCCGCCCCCCAATGCTCCTGATCACATTACAGTTTGCAGTAAGTGTCCAAGCAACACCCCAGTGTTTTCTGCTGTCACCCTGAGTTTTGCTACCCAGGCCTGCAAATGGACAATCAAGAAAAAGAAATCAAGAGAAGAGAACTCTTGAGAACTGTTGAGAAAAAGAGAGAGAGAACTCATTGCCACTGTAACTGAGTCCATTCACCTTGCTGCTGGTTGTCCTCTTCCTCTCTTTCCTTCCACCTGTTCCAGCATTAGAACCTTCTCCAAAGAGCTAGGTCTTCACATAATGTGTCTGAAGTAGGATAATTTGAACCTGGTCAGAAAACTCTGTGTCAGTTTGTTTGATGATCCATCGGTTTGTTTTCTTGGCCGTCCATGGTATTCTCAGGAGTCTTCTCCAACACCAAAGTTCGAAAGCATCAGTACTCTGTCCATCCATCCATCTGTCCATCTGTCTGGATGGATGGACAGAGATGGGCAAACAGATGGACAGATGGATGAATTGACAGTCAGATGGACAAATGGATGGATAGACAGATGGATGGACAAACAGATGGATGGACAGACAGAGGGACAGACAAACAGACAGATGGACGAGTGGGCAAATGGACAGATGGGCAAACAGACAGATGGGCAGATGGGTGGGCAGATAGATGGGTCACAGACAGATGACAAGCCAGACAGCCCTGTCAGCATTTTCTTCAGCTGCAGAGAAAATCTCAGTTGGGAAAAGCTATCAGAAAGCCTAGGGGTGGGTGTGTGCCTGCTTTAATTTGTAGGACTTCCAGATATGTGGACTTTTGCTCTTCAAATTTCCCAGGTAACCATGGCCATTAATGAGAATTCTGGGTTCTGACGCCCTTCTTTCTGGAGATGCATTGATGCTGTTGGCTTTGTTTGGTTAATAAGGATGATCTGATGGAACATCCAAACTTCAGTTCCCAGTAAGAGCTTAGGTGAATTATGGAGTTACATTATGAAGGTAACTGGACTGTTTGTATTCCTGATTAGACCCCAACCTGAAATTGAATGTAATTAGAGGTTCTTCAAAGTATCTGTAAAAAGAATTGAGGTAAACCGTACAGACAATATATGTAGCTGTGGCAATTAAAGAATCCCTGCTGGATTTTAATGTCTCTGTATTAATAATGCAACCAACCCTTTCTTTGACTCAAGGCAATTGAGCTTTTGGCTGGCTGCCACTGTCTACAACCCCTTCGGGCTTTTTGTTAAAGATACATATTTCTGAAACCTTCATGAATTGACATATATATTTTAGTGCATGATCTTCCTAATATGGATGGACAGCCCCACGCTGTGTAGCCACGGATCTGTCATTTTCAAATCTTAGAACTTCCTTCTGATGATGCCAGAATGTCTACCACAGGCATGCTCCTTGGTCTATCAAAGGTTACAACCTGCCTTAAAGTCTACATCTTTGTTCTGGTGAACTATATCACAAAATCCTGACCGCTACAAATATGAAAGGGCAAGAATCTTCTGGCTCATATTTCCATTAAACCTATAATTCTCTGAAAGTAATGCAAGGGCTCTGCCTTGCTCTAGTCTTCCTCTGTGTTGTTTCTACACTACTTCCCTGTTGCACCTTGAAATAGTGGGCAGTGCATCTTGGATAAGTGGAAGCATAGGAACCCAATTTCCATCTACCTCCTAGGAGTTATCTTAGGAGGAATCAAGCTGGTCTATTATTTCCAGAAATAGACTGGACAGAGTTGAAGAAATGGGAAGAGAGCACCATCCTTTGCCCTCCTCATAAATTTCAAGGAACATTGAAGGAAACCCAAATGTGGGTTGCAAATGTGTTGCAAGGCATGAGATAGATCTGAGAGAGTGAGAATTAATGTTTTATACACATGCCCTTGCTATACATCTTGGTATAACCTTCCAACAAAGGCAGGCACATTTTACTGTATGTATGTATGTATGTATGTATGTATGTATGTATGTATGTATGTATATATATATATATATATATATA